ACCATGCTGTGTATAAATATATCACTCTTTTTCTATATTGTTATATTAATATTGCATTTTTGAATTAGTTAGTTATTGGAGTATGTGCTGCTTTCACATAACATGTGGCCAAGAAAGTCATTAAGTTGATTTTCTTCTAGCTTCTCAAAGTGGGTTTCTCTTCATCGAATTTAAATTCAAAGATGTAGACAGTTGTCTTCAATAGTAGATCAGGTGGTACTTCAAGGTTACACCCTCTTCTGTGTTGGGATGAGAATGGTCAATCACTTAAATAGTGCTAATCACTCGATTTGGATAAATGGGGTATTACTTGTGAAATAAGGAATGTTAAACTTAGACAATCTTGTAGATACATATCTATCTCATTCCTCTAAGAATAATCAATTTTAACCTAAATATACCCAAATTTTGACAGAATAATAAAGCCTAATTGCAAATATCATCTAACAAGAAATTGGACAAATAACTGTTGCTTATCAGGTTTAGTAATATGATAAAATGTTTGCATACCAATAGAGATTACCTATTTATGTTTACATATAAATATCTTTAGAGCTTTTCATGCCCTCTCGTGTTTCTTCAAATTATACTTGTTTTTTATATGACCAGTTAACACATTTCATTCTATAGGTCTGTTTTACTACAGAAAGATAAACTGTCCTTGGCAAAAGCAATCACCAATATTAACAGTCTACCAGGTTACGTTATAAGTGCACACATACGTATACAAGGGCATGAACCTCGATATATATTAGCTTTAAGTTTCCAATCACGTCGCGACAAGTGTCTGAACAAAACCATTTTGGCAGAGTTCCAAGCTAGCAAGTCCTGATACGACCACGCGAGTGGCATTCTGGGATCTTGAGAAACGTTTTCCAGACAGCAGCATGAGCTTGTCTTCTGTGAAAGGCGCGGATATCTGAGAGGGGGTAGTGGTGTTCTCAAAAACGTGTGTGAGAAGATGTTTCATAGCTTAATGAAGTTTAAAGTAATTTAATATCGAGTTATTAATTACTTAATTGTGAATGCTCGGTGGAATATATTTTGTGAGGATGAAAAACAGAAAAACTGTTCTTCATTATAGAATTATGCACATTTCGAATGAGCTCGGTGTATTTACTTTTTAATACTACTGTTATATATGTATATACTTGAATTTCAAAAGAATAAGTTCTAGTTTTTACTTCTAGTGTATGCGACAATGTGTAACTTGTACTGAAGTTGTAGTGAAACATTCACATATTATTGACCTAAATATGTCAAATTCAAGACAAGATTGCTATTGGCAAAATTTGTAAGTATCCGTTTTATGCCAAAATCATTCATTTCAGTGCAATTGTTGCTATACTGGAACAAACTATTTAAATATCATTATGGGAGAAAATGCTACACATATAAGTTATATTAATTATTATTATCATATGACTCTGAACTTGAGCCTCAATTGTAACACTAAATTCGCAGAGTTTATTCTGGAATTTTTGTAAATGTTGTTGCACTACCACTACCACATACTTTAGTATCAGTAGGCCTGTCACTATGTCATTGTCAATACACAATCAGAAGTACAGTTTAAAACTTTAAATTTTAATGTTTTTAATAATAAAGATAGTGTAGGCCTAACCATTGTTAACCCTAGTAAAATGTCCACGAAATGATGAATGTAATGAGAGAAAATAGTTACCCAGAATTACCCTCAATTTAAGTATATCGGTCAACAAAATATTACTGGTATTATTATTAATAAACTCATAATAAAGGAGACTAAAATTATTAATGATAATAGTACTTGAGGTCCCTAATATTTCTAGCAAACTGTAAAGCAAAAAACATATTTAGAAACTATGAAAAATAAAAAAAATAAAATGTATTTTTGTGTCATGCATTGTAATTTGTATACAATATTTTTGAACTTTGCCAATTTACATAAAATATAGTACTGTTATTACTGCTTCTTTGATATTAAGAACTAACAATGAAAACAGAAAAGTTAAATAGACTGCTTAAAATTTGTTGGTGATGTTAAGATCTTGGATGTTGCTGGCTGTAACTTACAGCGTAAGTGTGACTTTGATTTTACAATAGGATTTAGTTCATATGATGAGTTGGATGAATGGATAACTGGCAGATGGCTTTTAGATTTAATTGTAATAAATGTACCATAATACATGTGGGTTATCATAATTTAAACTATAAGTATAACTTATAATTTTGATGGAAATCACTAACTGTTATGAAACTGAGACGTTCTTGGTGTTTCAGTTGATTACTCACTTTTAAGCCATCCAAGCAGTGTTGCCAATGGTAGGACAAAAACTTGAAAAAGGATTCTGTGTTATAATACTGAATATATTATAGATTAAAAGAGATTATGATTTCATTCTGTAAATCTCTAGTTAGGCTTTATTTTTGAGTATTGTGTTCATTCTTGGGCTTCTTACCTTAGGACATTGAAATTTGAATTGTTGGAAAGGGTTTGAATGATTATAATTGCAGGGAGTGTACACATCCTTGAAAGTCATCGAAATCGAGAATGGAATTTCAAGTTCTTAAGGTGCTTGAAAAGGGGATTTTTTTGGCAAAAGTATTTAAATATAATAGCATTATGTATTGACATATCAAATTTCAATGCATGTTGCAGAGTTGAATGCAATAAATAATCTTTTTTTTTTTTTTTAGTCTACATTCATATTTTGAACAAATAAATAAAAATTTTATAAAATTTCATTCGAATCTGATTGATTTTGATGTAGATTTTAGGTTCCAAAAAAGTGCTTGAAATTGATCTGAGCAATTCAGTATGAACATTGTGCTTGGTATGGAAGGTTTGTCATACAAGGACAGATTGATATAATCGTTGAACTTGTTTTCTCACGAAAAAGGAAAAGTTAAGAGGGGGGATCTCATTGAGGTGTTCAGTATTATTAAGGGATTTTATAGTATTGATGAATAATTGTTTTTCTTAATTTGATGGTGAGAATGGCTGGACAAAGGGTCACGTATTAATTTGGGTATAGTAGGAGTCATCTTGAGTTTATTTTTATAACAGTGTGGTTGCATTTTGATGTCACAGATGCAGTGATTTTAATTGAGTTTACGTGATCAGGGCTGGATTTGAATCTTATTTTCAAGTACAATGTCATAATGTCCGAGATACTCCTTATTGTCACTTAAATGTTACGTTATTCAGCGTTTTGTTCCTTGCAGTTATTAAGGGTAATGATCACTAAACGTAAGTAGTTGTAATTATTCTTTAGTATCTTTTGAATCTGCTATGACTGAAAAAGTCTGTAATTTATCTACTTCACATATGGTCTTACGGAATAATTTTATAAGTATCAATACAGTCACGTACAATGTTTTTGTGATTTGCAACATATGTAGCAGCTTAAGCTGTTTTGTAATTCCCATTATATGATATATAGTGTATACTAAAACATTAACATGGGGGCCCAAATTTGACCTGAATGTTGGTTAGGGAAAAAATTGTAGAATATATTTTTTAAATGAAATATATCCTGGGAAAACTAGAATATACCACCAAAAAAGGATCACCAAAAGAGTGAGGACCAGATATTTGAGCCATTTATTTTCATTTTTGGCATGTTCATGGACAAGGAGTAGATATCAAAACATTTGAGTGTGTAGCTAATATGTTACTCCAGTTTTTAAGAGGGGAGATATAAGCGTTAAGGGAGTTATAGACTAAATATTTTTGTTGTGTGGGGGAGCTCCTTTTGAGAGGATGGTAAAAGGTGTTTTTTATGACAATTTGATGAGTTTCAAAGTTTTGTCAGCCTGCCAACATGGTTTTACAAGGATAAAATCCTGCCACACTAACTTACCAATTTTTTTAATATATTTGTATTTCCAGAAAGTATTTGAAGTGGATATAAAAGATTAGTAAAAAAAAAATCCTACTGTAAGAGTAGCGGATACGATGATTAAATGGAAGGGTGGTAGAAAACAAGGTTGTTGTTAATGGAATTCAGTTTTAACTGCTCTGATGTTACATGTGCTTCTTGGGATATGCATTTGGACTGTTGCTATGTTATATTTATATCAATGACCTTGACTAGAACGTGAAATAGGTTTTTTTGGTAATATAAACATTTTTAAATCTGGCTGACTGTAATGAGAGTGTTATTTTATTGAGAGACTTTGATTGGCTGAGTGGACAAACATATGACAGTTTGAATTCAAAGTCTAAGTTTTGATTTCCAAAATATTTAAATAATTTCTAAATCTTCACTTTGTGTCACGAGATGCATCATCCTTTTTAGATTTTATATCTGACCTAACGTGGTTTTCAGTATGTCCAACCAATTAGAAACAAAAAAACTATGAAACTTAAACCTCCTAAGTTTTCAGTTTGCTGATATATCAAATTTGTCTAACCCACCACACAAGCCCGTGTCATCTTATCATAACTTTCAAGGCAGTTATCTAAGCCCAGAGGAGGAGAATTTCATTATCTATAACAACACTCGAGATTATTTATTTATTGTAATTAGGTTTTATTATTCATTATTATAATTTTATTATAAAGATTTTTTTTTAATTGTAATCTTATCTTAATATACGTGGTTAGGACTAACCTAAATATAAGTTGGCTAAACCTTGCGAGATATTATTGGGATTATAGCCAAAAATATTTTAACATTGAGTTAATGACAGCGTGTCTAATCATTGTAAGTAGAAATTTAAGAAAGGTACATTAAATTATTTACATTGATTGCCAGGTTGATATTTAGTTTCACTCAAAGTATATATCTTGCTAGCTTTGATTGGAAATGAATTAAATTCTCTGATTGTTTTTTTTTTTTTTAACTCTAAGCAGATAATAGAATTGTTTTAACATGTTATTGGCTAGAAAGCAAGTTAAATATAATAGTTTTGGGGCATGATATTTTATGCCTAATGTATTTTGTATTCTAAAATGCATATTCGAAAACTACATGAATTTTAATTTATCAAGAAAAAAGTAAGGCTACTCTTCCATGGAATTTAGTGCAAGAGGTCTGAACTTGGATGTGAATGATAAATATCTTATTTTTTGCATATAACATTTATTTATTACTGTATTTTTTTTTAAAATCAAGATTAGTAAAAATGTAAAATTTGAAACTCGTTAGGTTTGGTGACAAACTTAGTTTTAAATTTCACGTCAAGCTCCCAGCCTGCTTGTGACTGTAACCTGAACATTTGTTCATTCTAAGCTCTGATGGAAACATGCTATTGTGATTTATTGCTTTTCAAACAGAAGACATCCAAAAGAACAGTAATAAAATGATAAAATTAAAGCAGATGTGGAAAGGCTAGAAGCTGAGGCTGTTAGGGTAAATAATTGTAATTATTTGTGACAATATGCAGTCATTCTAGATAAAAATAGTATTTTATATTTTACAAATTTTTAGTGTATATTAATGATTTCACTACAGTTAATTCTGATTAAGGAGTTAGAACTACAAATGTTGTAATGGTTTTCAAACGAGATCTAAAACTCTACCACTTTTGATTAGTTCACTATTCATATTTGGGAGAATAAAAAAGCCTTATAGACTTTTATAGACAATTCTCTTTTTAAATCTTCATTCTAATGTGAATCCTCTTCACCAGGAGCTTCAAGTTTGTATTTATCTGCATCCGTGAATGATGACGGCAGTTACGGTATATTTTTAAAAAGCAGTCATTATTTTATGTCTTTGTTTTCATTCTGGTTGTTTTGGTCATCCTGGGTGCCATCTTTACCAATTTCAAGGTGTTGGGCAACAGCAGTACTGGTAATAGTGATGTTGCTGCCTTCTCTGGTAGAGGTACTTGTATGTAAGGCAATAATATCACGTTGGTCATGTGACAAAGAATAGTCCCATATCATGTGTCATGGTTGAAGATGGGTTGTCAAATTAGCCTTCTTAAAATTTAGAATCAGTCTGTAACATAGGGTTAAAGGCCATAAACTAATTGGTCTCTATCAAATCTTCATAGGGTAGATTCTTTGGTAGAATATATGACAATAAAATAAGAAAATATAGTATTTTTTTTGTAGCATCTTATGTACACACTCTCTATGCTTGAATAAATGTACCAGTTAAACTTTCTACACCAGTTTAGAAATGAAATAACATCTTTGTAAAGTTTCAGGCTACACGTTTGGTCCAGTAATAGATTCTCACAAATTAGAATAGCTGTCTAAGTCAGGGTGCATACGCATTCTTGAAAATCCTTAATTTCAAGAGCTTGAGAGCACTTGAAAAGGAGTGTTTTTTTTTTGTTTTTTTCAAAAGTACTTGA